TATATTATATATATACGGATGGACGGGAAACTCCTAAATGCAGGTGGACGTTTTAAAAGGTCCGATCCCACTTGTGTGCGCTATATTTATCTGAAACAGCCAGCAGTGCGTCGCCCCCCCAACTGCCGCTGCCGATCTCGGGCTCCGCTGTGCCCCGTGCAGGACCGGGATCGGCGCGGTGGCTCTGTGAACGGAAGGAGATCAGCAGACGATCTTCCTTTGATCTCCTCTCCGGTCTCTGAATGGGGAAGTGATGTTTATGGCATCACTTGCGCATTCAGCTGTCATTCCTGGCTACAGCAGCTGGTGAAGCAGATAACTGCTTCTTTGGGGGTCCCTATGTGACATTAGGGATCTTAAAGACCCCTGATGTCTCCATAAAGAGGACCTGTTACTGTATGTGTGCTATCACATAGGGACCTTTTTATCCCCCTATGTGATAACAATAAAGTTAAGGGTAAAAAAATAAAAGTTTGTTATTTAAAAAAAGTCACAAAAAAATATAAATGTTTTTAAAATTTCCACACACACGCAAAAGTGCGTTGGGTGTGCCTAAGTGCGAAAACGACAGTTGCACCCATTACACCGCACATGTTACATATCACTGCGAACGTCAGAGTGCGATCAATTATTTTAGGGCCATCAATCACTGTCGACACTAAACTGATGAGCGGTAAAAGCTTTTAAAGCGTCGCCTATAGCCAATGTTTGGTATGGTAGTTTTTTGCGATTTCGTGGGCGCGTGCAATTTTAAAGCTTGATGTGTCTGTTTAACCGACGTGACCCCATCTTTTATATTTTACAAACAAATTGGGTAATAATAAAGGTTTCATAACATAATGTAGGGAAAACAGATTCAAAATTTCTGGTGCATATTTCTTTATATAGGAAAAAAATTAAAACCCCCAGTGGTGATTAAATACCACCAAATGAAAGCTCTATCTGTCCCCAAAAAATGATATAAAATTTATTTTACTACATACATGCGTTGCATGATGGAATAAATGTCAGTCAAAGTACTGCAGCACTGAATACTGAAAAATGGCCTGGACAGGAAGGGGGTTTAACACCACAGTCTTCAAGGGGTTAATGATCCCTATGATTGTAACCTGTCTGTACAATGCAGACTAGATTCTGATTTTCTGCTAAGATCAACCCTCACAGATGTCTGTGGGCAAAGAACAAAACATTATCAGCAATCATTTTTTTGTGTTTTGCACTTCCAATCCCCATTTATAGTCTATATTTTATCTAATTTCCATGTCAGGTGCTCCAGTTGGAAGCCTTGTTGGATAATCTGTCAGTGGACCCAATAACAGGCGATATCTGGACAGGAGCCCATCCAAATGGACTTAAATTGTTTAAGTACAGTGCAGAAGATCCACCAGGCTCAGAGGTCAGTGTGCATATGAATGGAATATTATTTGAGAAGGAAATTATGTTTTAATTTATAGACTTGGTTTGCACAATGTTATTATTGCCAAGGTGGAGTGTTGTGGATGTAGCCTGGTTTGTGATAGAAGGCTACAATGGCTCAGTGCTCCAGGGGTCCACCTGTGCTATCCGCTTACTCACATCAGTGCACATCCCCAACGCATATCCCAGGAGGCTGCAGGAGCAGGGACATGGAGCAGCCAATGGGCATGGCTACACACATTGTCAGGAGCTGGCTACCTGAACCTGCTCACGACAACTGAGGAGCACCATGATGATGGCGGGGAACCTGGGCTATGTCACCTTGCAAATTGAGGAGGGACAACGCTGGATTCGCTGGGCAGGTGAGTATGTGAATTGAGGACAGTGCACAAAATGTAAGAGGGGTTTAAAAGAACATATGAGAGAGGTTCACTTTAACTCATAAATGTTAAGAGCCCTCATGTCCAAAGGGAACCCTTTCAAAACAAATGCACGTTTTACAATTCATACAGTTCATCACAAATCATAGGACATGATAATTTTATAATGCATTTTGGTAGTATAAACTGTTATTAGTAAATATCAATGTATTATACTGTATATTATTAAAAAAAAACAATACACGATATTCAGCAATATTGCATGACCAGTGTGGTCTGGCATAGCCAGTGTGGCACTATGAGCTTGGCTAGTTTTGTAGCTGTGCCATATAGTTGAGCTGTATCCTCCTGAAGAATTGTTATATGGTTTTGCAGTAGACGCAGCAATACATGAAAGAATTCAGAGAGTGTACTGAAGGAGACCATCTGCCCTTCTGAACACTGGCCCCAACTCTCCAACCTGCCTTCCCTCTGATATATGACCCTTGTCATTTTTACATCTGATTTTTCTGTTGCAGGTGATCCGTGTCCAGAACATTCACTCCGACAACCCAGTGGTGACCACCGTATATGCAAATGATGGCTCAGTGCTCCAGGGGTCAACCTGTGCCAATGTATGGGAGAAGAATCTACTGGTGGGCACAGTATTTCACAAAGCTCTGCACTGCAAGTTGGAGTAATAGTGCACTCTGACCAAAACGCACCCAAACGACTGTGAAATGCACTTCATTTTCAGCTGGGCAGGCCCTGCAGGTGACCACAGGAGTTTGCACACTCTAAGTGACCACAGAAAGCCCAGCATCACCACAACCTGACTTGCATAGTGTTACAAATGTGGCTGGGTTGAAGCTGGTGTGTATTTTCAATTATTGCTTTTTTTGAGTTGACCTGGAAATACTTTGGCATTGGCAAATCAATTCTAGGACAGCTGCCGCACTGTTAGGGACACTGTGCAGAATTTATGTGGATGAAACACACACACACACACACACACACACACACACACACACACACACACACACACACACATTGATCCTGCATTGCATTTCAGAGGACAACTAAAAGTTCTCCAGTGCTGGCCAACACTGTCTATGACAGCCTCGAGAGAGGGACACCATCCTTTGGCCTAGTATTGGCTGTGGTCTTCATTAATTACTATAGAAGCCTCAGAAAATACATGAGGAGTGTGCAAATACATATGTTTGGCAGGGTTAGGCCTTTTGAATCATGTGATGATTGTATTATTTTTGTAAACGTGGTGATATTTTGTATCTTGTGATATTGATGTTGCTATAAAATGGGACCAGAATAAAGCACCTTGTTTAGACGTAAACCAGTCTTGTCTAAAGCGCCTGCTTGTTTATTCATTCTTAAATGAAGGATTGTGTTTGTTATGACACTTATGTAATTAAAGTGATATTAAAGTCAAAAGGTTTTTTAACCTATTTCAAACGCTGATGAAATCACTTAAAATAAGTTTTTGTTGAAAATTACAAGAGAAGCCATGGCATATAGGTTTAGGATACATACAATATTTGATTCAATTTTTGAGACATTGCCTGGAGCCCAACTGGGCATCCCTAAATGGAAACACCGGTAATACTCCAGCGGATACAGTCTATAACAAGGGGCCTCCCATATGGAACACAAAGAAGAAGTGACCCATTATTGAAGCAATGCCAAAAGTGGGAAATAAGAAACATCCAAGGAAGAAAAGAACATAAGAAAGCATAATAACTAGAAAGAAGAAAACAGAAAATTTAAAAAAAGCTAAAGGAAAAAAAAAAAAAGACAACCTGAGACGACCTGTTCCCCCAACACCCCCCACCAGGGACACATGCATCAACGTTAGAGTAGTTGACCCACCTCGGGGGCCATACAATGAGTGATCCAAGGGTCCCATCTCTTTCAAAACTTCCACCCAGAATTATACCAAATAGTGGCAATATGTTCGTCCACCAAGTACCAAGGCATTTTTCATTTAACTTGCAGCACATTAGGAGTGGCTGCTTTAGCCAAATCCTGTTTAGCCGCCGTGAAAAAAAAAAAAATCGTACGATATTCGGCAGGTGTATTGGCAGTGTGCAACTGCTTCTACTGTAAGGTCGCACGTCTTTCGTCTTCCGAGCACGCTGGAAAACCTGCCGAAAATAGTACGATTTTCGGCAGGTTGGTAGCATGGTCGGAAGACAAATGCCGCACGGGCTGGTGTGCACAAGCGCACACTGCCCGCTCCGCACTGCAATCATCAGAAGCCCGCCCCTTAGCGGGGAGGGCTTGTGATGATCGCAAGTACGATCTGCCTGTCCAAGATGGGCAGATCGTACAAAATTTTAATGAGCTTAAAACAACTACTGTATCCCATATTTGAGTGAACTCTTAAGGTTCCCTGTGGGTCTGGAGGTCCTGTTCCCATTGGGCAACCTATGGAAGAAGTGATGGTTGATGACCTTCAAGAAGAGAGGAATAGATCAAAGAAACTACCCCCTTTCCAACAGGGTTGGCTGAATGCTCAAATAGATTGAGAGGACGTTGTAGCAGAAAACAACTAGTAGCCGCAAAAACAGCTCTCAACGTTGAGATATTTAAAGACGTCAGAAGGGGGAAGTTTACAATTTCAAAGCTTATAACCCTGTCAGGCATTAGTGAGTCATGAATCCGGTGCAACCCGACTTTAACCAAATTGAAAAACCGGGGGGTGGAGGGATAACGTATCACAGTTCTCAAAGGCAAATGCAGGGAGAAAAGTTTTCCAGAGTACTTTAACAGTATCCCAAATTTTAAGATAGTGCCTCAGGATAGGATTATTGATATGCTTTTGTACGGGAAAGATCCACGAGAGGGCATTGTAACGGATCTCGGTTTCTCGGCTGGGTATATCTGCTAAGGTCAGGTCACAGCTTCCTCTTGCTATCAACCCAGTCCAAAGTCTTCCATCAGGTCATTATAGCCTTTACCCCCAGCCATCAGCACAAAGCTTGATGTAGGGTTATGCAGTCCTACCCAGGAACCAGTGAGACGTGGTTTAGGGTAGAGAAGAAGTAGCTTTATTGAGCAGTTTGGGATGCGTAAAAAAAACAATACAATCAAAACATTAATAGAAGCAACATTCCTCCCCAGTACCTGGAAGTCCGGAGCCGCTATTAATCTTCTGCCAACAATGTACACTGGATGGGGAAAGAATAAACACAAACGATAACGGGTATAATGGGATTAACTGTTTCCATAGTGTCTGTAATATGTTAATTTACTTAGCTACACCTACTGTCCGAGTTTTGTTAATCACATTGTTAACACAATCACACAAATGGACAAACTTTAACTATGTAAATAGAAGTCCAGGGCCAGAGTTAACCCCTTGTGTGCTGCTGCATTCCATGTGGTCACAGTAAATTCAGATTGGGGTGCTGGGGTTTGCAAAACATGGATACTGGCTCCTAAGATGGCCTCCCATAACAAGCTTCATAGTCCACAGAGTCACTAGTATTTGGGGAAATGTGACACCCCATACCAGGAGGAAGAAGTAGTCCCAACTGTACCCACCTCCCAAAAATAGAACTCCTTTCTAGGCCAAGGTCCATAGTCGGTAGGGAGGAGACTGACCTTCAGTCCCCTCCAGGTGCTCAGGACACAGAGGCTTCCGTGACAGGTATCAATTGCGATAGGGTCTATTTCAGCTGCCTTCAAATTTACCCATAAAGGAGTACAAGGGGTCCTTTGATAAGATGAAAGGGGGGGCAAGTTGCGACACATAATAGCATTGATATTACATGGACTGAAAGGTCTCCTTTATTTCTAGAAATCACTTACAATGGAAGCTGTTCCTTGATGTTTCAAAGTTTTCATTTCCTGCAGTATCAGCTGGTCCACTGAGCACTGGCCCTGATATCATGTTTTAGGGTAGATCCTTTTCCTTGCAGGGTCATATGGACTCACCCTTGTGTGTGTCTCCACAAACACAGCAGGGCAAGACACTACCCTTCCCACTGCTTGTAGATGGACAGCTGCTGGAGACTGCTCTGTCCCTTGTGATCTTATACCAAAAAGGAAGTTCAGGGAAGCTGAGCTGAGAGAGTTGGAGCTGTATGGAAACATGAGGATTGCAAGTTCTTGGACAGAAATGTAAAGAAATGATTTGCGGGGCAATGTAGATTTATTTAGTCTGGAACCATTATTGAAAAAAGGTAGGATTTAAATACTACTTTATAGTGTATTTCCACTTTTGCAGTCACATTTAGGGAAACCCCTCCATATGTTTGTAACGTGTTCCTGTTCACACAGCATACTAAAAAATAACTTTAAAAAAAATTCTTACCTTTTAGAACATGTGGCACATCAATGCCTGCATGCACTATTTTTTCTGGACTGGAATGCAGGCATTGATGTGCCACGCGTTCTGGTGCAGGCGATTGCACTGCGGGCGTGGGGTGCGGCTGCAGTGCCATTGACTTCAATGCACCGCCACGCCCCCTACCACACCAGAACGCGGGGAGCCGGCCTGGATGCGATACAGTGCGTTCCAGCAGCGATTTGTGCTGGAATGTGCACTGTATATGGTGTTAACAAGCCCTGAAACAGACCACTGTAAAAGGGCTCAGAAATACCTGGAATCGGCCATCTTGCCTGATTTAACAAAACATCTTATAGGTAAGAATATTTTGTTTAAAGTTACAGCGCATTCAGTGTGTTCCCGCAGGGAATCGTGCTGGAACGCACTGTATATGGTGTGAAAAAGCCCTAAATGGAGTCTTGGGACTGACATTTGTGGAATGTGTTTATCTGATAAGCTTAATTAACATACAATGCACTAGCCACCTCTGAATGAATGAATGAAACCCCTCACCCATCACAGCCCCTCCTAATATTTAAAAGAAATAGAAGCACAAATACATTTTAACCATTAAAACCCTAACCCGAGTAAAACCAATTTAAACTGCAAGAAGCATTTTTTTTTTTTTTTTTTAGCTTATGCTATGTGAATGGGAACATGTAACCAATATAAAATAGGTGTTATCCCAATTTGTCTGAGAAAGTGCAAATATACTTTAAAATACGACTTATTTAATAGGACGAAGTGCGATGTGTGTGTGTTTTTAATGTCTGTGTGTGTTTTTTAATGAGTGTATCATATGTATGTGTGTGTGTGTGTTTCATTACGTGTGTGATGTGTGTGTGTGTTTTTTTAATTAGTGTGTGATCTGTGTGTGTTTTAAGGCGTGTGTGATGTGCCTGTTTTAATGCATGTGTGATGTGGGTGGGTGTTTTAGGGCGTGTGTGATATGTGTGTTTTTTAATGTGTGTGTGTGTGTGTATGTAGAGCCAAAAGAAATCTCACCGCTTCAATTCCTTAGCCGCCATCAGGACTCCCCAGGTGCTGGTCCAATAGGTGCGTCTCCACCTTGGAATGTAGTAGTATGCGAACAGGCCGCACTATCCAGAGAATTCCAATACTTCAGACTTTATTGAAATTCACAGTAAATCCAGTATAACAGTGTATGGAACAGCAAATGCAAGCACCACAAACCCCCAACCAGCTACAACCTCTCACACGTTTCACCCCTAGGCTTATTCATAGAGGTAACCTGTGAATTTCAATAAAGTCTGAAGTATTGGAATTCTTTGGATAGTCCAGTCTGTTCGTACAGTACTACATGTGTGTGTGTGTTTCATTACGTGTGTGATGTGTGAGTATTTTTTTTAATGAATGTGTTTCATTATGTGACAGTGTGTGATGTGTGTTTTATTGAGTGCATAAATGTTTGAACATGTGTGTTTCCCTATTTTGCCTATGGCGCTGATGCTGAACCTTCCTTAA